CCGCGACAGCGGGAAGGAGCAGGAGGTTAATGTCTCCCCGCGCAGTGGCAATCACCGGGTTTTTGTCAGGAATAAGATTTTTACTGGGGTTTATAAATAATGCAGCAGGCAGCCTCGGGCTGCCTGAGCTCAGCTCCGGTGCCTTAAATGGGCCTTTTCCTCTCCCCGTGCCCCTTTTCCTCCCACTCCTCGGCATGGGCACATCATCTGGGGCAGTCGCCGTCGGATGCTGCCGAATTATCATCCTTTTTCTCCCCAGCAAGAAGCGTTGGGCTTGGCCGCTCCTGCACCCCCGTGGGTTCACCAGCAACTTTATATGTAGCTCCTCTCCAAAAAAATTGACCCCAGGGCACAGATAAAAGGCTGAAAGTAGGTCTAATCCCTGGAGAGAGACTGTTTTCTATACGCCTTTTCATAGGAGCCTATTAACTGCCTGTAATCCCCCGAGGATGCGACCGAGCTGCGGCATCTTCCCTTGCTGTGCATCCTCGGGGGGGGTGCGAGGGGTCCCAGGGGGCGAGCGGCGGCATGAGCGATGCTTCGAGCTGCATTTTTCCACTCCCATCCTTGGATCCAGCTTGATGTTTTCCCGCTTTGCCCACATCTGTCCAGATGTGCTGGGTAACCTGTGGCCGCAAACTCCTGGTCCATGGGCATCACCTCCACCGCTCCCCTTCCCCTGAGCATCCCTCCTTGCAGCAACCGCTCTGTTGCGTCCCCAAAATAATCTCTAGAAAACCCTTTGAGACGGCAGACGAAGAGCTGCTCGATCCAGGAGCAGCTCCAAGGTTTCTCACCGAACCCACCCCAGGGCGTAAATAAACGTCGGGAAAAATCGGACGCGTCCTTGAAAACTTCCCCTCGTTCCCAAGGCCGGAGATTTACAGCTCCGATAATTCTTCCTGCAGTTCTTTATCCCGTGTCCGTGCCAGCGTGTATTTTCTTTGCAATAAAAGCCTCAGCCTCAGCGAATAAATTTGAAGAGGTGGTTTTAATGACAGCTTTTTTTTTTCCCCCCTCTTCCTTTTTGTGATAAAAAAAGGGGGGGAAAGAGAAAATTTGGCGTCAAAGTTGAGTTTTGCCCAAGCAGGGAGGGAAGTGCTGGGTGGGGAGAGTGGGGTCTCCTCCCCAGAGATGCTGGTTTTGCGGGGTTAGTCCCCAAAATCCCGTTCTCTCATGCCTGGCCTCTTAAAAAAAGACTATTCTAACCCTCTGATGGATCGATCTGAGCTGTTCTAGTCCCAAAATGCCCATCTCCCATCTGCGTTGCTTTCCTCTGCCTTTTCCTCCTTAATTTTGTACTAAACCTTGCTCCTTGCAAGACGGTGGGATAAATCTGAAGGCATTGGGGGACACAGGGAAGAATGAGTCCCCCCGGTCCTAAAAAGAGCCTTTTTCCACTTAAAAATTACAACCCCAGCGAGCGGCTGGAGGTAGGAGTTGGCGACGCGATAACAGGACAGAAACGCGCGGGTTTTGCTTTTAATCTCAGCAGGCTCATGATAAATAAATACTATTTCCTGAATCTTAATAAAAATATTTTAAATAAAAATATTAAAAGTAAACATATTAAAAATAAGTATCTTCAAAAAAAATTAAAAAGCGGCTGCAAAGCTGCTCGTGCATTTGCAAAAGTGACCGCGGGCGTCTCATATACGGGGGTTTTTTTTTTTTGCAGGTCCCCGATGGTGGCACCATCAAGCAGAAGATCTTCACCTTCGATGCCATGTTCTCCACCAATTTCTCGCACATGGAGAATTATCGGAAGAGGGAGGATCAGATCTGGTCTACCAGTCCACCGTGCGGTAAGTCGCCCCAGTATCACCTCCTTTGACGTGTCGGCTGCTTTTTAATGCCTATTTTTAGGCGTTTGTCCCCATTTTGGGGCAGTTGAGGGTATCCTGGCAATACTCTATGCGTCCTCTTTGGCTCTCGGTGGGGTTTCGTTGCATTGCAGAGAAATTATCGTCCCTTAATGCGCCGTCACCAAATATCCGAGGTCTGTCCCTATGGTCCCGCTTGTCCCTCAGGAAAAGGTGACATCGGTGGAGATTTCCAGGGGTGAAAACGGGCAGAGAAGAACAAGGCTTGGGAAAAATAAAATGAAATAAAAATATATATAAAACAGGCGGCACGGAAGCTTGTCTTTGCTTTTCTTCCAAGTGCGAAATCACTCGCAGGAGTGTCAGCTTTATTACTAATTACACACTTGCTTTATTGCCGCTGTTATAAAAACAAAACTGCTGCCTGAGAAAAATGTCAGGGGGAGACCTATTTCAAGGGGAAAAGGCTGGGGTGATGTATTTATTTTTCACGATTTCTTTTTTTTTCTTTGTTTCCTTTTTAAATTAGAATTTGCTAATCGGATTTCAAAGCTGGTTTTTTCCCCAGTGTAGGGTAATAAAAATTCTGTGTATGGTGGGGAAAATATAGTCGTTTCCTCGAGGTGATGTGATGCTTTGCACCTGCAAATGTCCGTGTACAGGTTGGAAAGGGCTGAGCACGGCTCGTCCCGTCACATGAGCTTGCGTGCAAGCATGAAATTATTTCTAATTCTTTGGAATTTGAATTTTTTGGGGGGGTTTTTTGCTGTTTTTTCTGCTACACTCAGAGCTAGGTTTTGTTATAAGCAAGAGCAAGCGTGTCAGATGGCTGCATGGGAATAAATGTGAATATGGAGTGGAGAAGAAGCAGGAAAGCAGGGCTGAAGAGGAGATGATCTGGGTTGCTCAGGAGATGCTCGGCGGATGCTAAAGGGTTGCTCAGGAGGATGCGCAGAGCTTGCTCAGAGGTGGCTCAGGAGATGCTTGGGTTGCTCAGGGGTTGCTCAGGGGAATGCTCTGAAGATGGTCGGGAGGGTCAGGAGATGCTCGGGATGCTCTGGGGATGCTGGGAATGCTCAGGGGTTGCTCAGGATGCTCAGGGGTTGCTCAGGAGGATGCTTAGGGCACGCTCAGAGGATGCTCAGGGGTTGCTCAGGGAGATGCTCAGGGGATGTTCAGAAGATGCTCAGAGGATGCTCAGGAGGGTCAGCAGACGCTCAGGGGTTGCTCAGAGGATGCTCAGATGATGCTCAGGAAGGTCAGGAGATGCTCAGGATGCTCAGGGGATGCTCAGGCAATGATCAGAGGTTGCTCAGGGGGATGTTCAGGAGATGCTCAGGGGCTGCTCCGCTCCTCAAGTTTTGCTTCCCCATGTAGCACGGGCTCCGCTTAGGCCCTCGTCGGTTGTTGTACAAATTTCTGACACAACTAATTATTGTTTGGAGGACGTTTTGGCAACTTCACAAACAGATTACACATTCCCTAACTCAACAGCCTCGCTTTCCTGCCATAAACCCAGCGGTTTCACTCGGCGCTGGATTTGGCCATTGCTCTCCTGTAGCAGGGAGCACCGGGAGCGAGACATCCCAACCATGAGCATCCCTTGAGCGAGGGACAAGGACGTTGCACTGTCCCGGCGAGGCAAAGCAGATGCTTTTTTTTCTTTTTTTTTGGCTCAGAAACCTCAATTTTTCTCCCTTTCACCGTGTATTGTAGAGCTAATAGAATTTGCAAGCAGAAAATTTCGCCGCCCTAGGACCAAGCACTTAAAAGCATCGGTAATCGTCAGCACAGCGCCGGCAAATCATCCGTGGAGCTGGGGATGTTCGCGGTAAAAGTCTTTTCACGCGGTTGTTTTCAGAGGAAAACAGCAACGTGCCTGGGGAGAAAGGAGATATTTCTCGGAGGGTATGAAAAGAGCTTGTTTTCTGAATTGTTGGCTTGATGCTTTTTTTTGGGGGGGGTCCTGCCTTATTTTGGCCTCTGGTGAAGAAGAGGAGCACTATTGGGAAGGGTTTGGTGATGGGTCAGTCGCTTTCCGGCTGTTTCCACTCAGGTTTTCTCTCCCTTTCATTTTACCCGTCTGTATTTTCAGCTGTTTTTAATCTTTTTAATGGCACGGTCACGTCGGTGCCGTCCCACGGAGCGTTATCCCGGGCGGCATGGCTCTTATCTGCGCAGCGCAGAGGGCTGCCGGGGCTGCCTCTTTTCATACTGCCTTTGAACGCCGCCCGCTCAGATGTGAAGAGCAAAGCCGGGAGATATCCAACCCTGGATTTTTTTTCCCCTCCTCTGATTAAAAAACCCACCCTCGTCAAGTAAAGCACTGCTTTATGAATATCTATATAATTTTTTTTTTATTTCCAGCATGCTTAGAGGACGCAAAGGACATGAGGGGCAGCGTTTTGTCTTTGCAGGGCTGGGGGTCCTCTCTCTCCGGTCCCTGCCGATTGCAGAAGCCTCAAACCGACCCAGTTAGGACCGTTCTACACCCAAATCTGTGCACAAGCCCAAAGGGCTTGTCCCTTGCAGCGAGGGGCAGCCGCCGGGATGGAGAGGGTCCCCCGCTTGGCGGGGACCAAAACCACCGGCACCGCTCCCGTGTGCCGCCGACGAAGGGTGTGGATGATTTCCTGCTCCGTGCGTGGGTAATTAGAGGCTGGAACAGATGGCGGAGGCTTAGTTGAAAGCATCGTGGCCATTAAAAGGAGCTGCCAAGCAACTGTTCGCTTCGACGGGGCTTGTTTGCGCTGGCAGGGGGCTCACACGGCGAGGAGGAGGCACGGGAAGGCAGCTAGGGGCTTTTGGAAAGGATCCGGCAAGCCAGCGCCGTGTTTCCCCCCTGGCCGGGGAAGTCCGGCGAGGTGCACGCCTGGGTTTGTCCGGAAAACAGGAGGATTTTTAAGCTGGAGGTGGCTTGCTGGGTGCTCCGTGCAGGAATTGCCCCCATCCTTATTGGTGTGGTGGGATGCTGCCGTCTGGCGAGGCGGGATGCTGCTGCTGGTGAGATGGGATGACGCTGCCAGCCGGTAAGGCGGGATGATGCTGCCGGTGAGGTGGAATGATGCTGTCGACCGGCAAAGCGGCTCCTTTGCAGCCGGTGCGAGTGTTTCCACCTCCAGCAGCACCGATCCTTTTGCACATCTCTTCCTCTCCTGTTTTTTATATATATATATAAAGAATCTAGATAATCGATCGATCGAAGTGTGCTCTGGGTTTGCTTAGAGTTTGGGCTTTTGATGCTTTTTATCCGCCACGCTTTGCTACAGCCGTTGCATCGCCCAAGCGGTCTGTAACGTCCGGTGCCGAGCCTTTAACATCGGCATTTCGCAGGCGTTTAACGTCCACGCTCCGCGGGTTTTTGCTCTCGGCGGGGCCCTTTCCTCCCCGACGCCTCTCCCTTTCATAAATCAATTAACGCTCCGCGGGTTTTTGCTCTCGGCGGTGCCTTTATTACCTCCCGGCTTCTCCTTTCAATAATGCAATTACTTACCCTCCCGAGGAGCTGTCAGTGCCAGTAAACTCCAGCTGCTAAACCGCATTACACAGCTCTTTCCTGCAGCCTTTGCAGTTATTAATAGTTTATTGATCCCCATCACCGGCGAAAAGCAACCCCATCCGACGCCTTGACATCCGGATGCCGACCGCTGCATCCCCCAGGAAAATGGGGTCAGGATGGAGAGGGGAGCAAGTGGTGAGCTCTGTCTCTCCTCCCCAGCCTCCCCGAGGTTCGCATTTCGGACAACGGTCCCTACGAGTGTCACGTGGGGATTTATGACCGAGCCACGCGGGAGAAAGTGGTCCTGGCCTCTGGGAACATATTCCTCAACGTGATGGGTGAGTGCAGCCCCCGGCTGGGTGGGACCAGAGGGGAAAGGGCTGCAGGGGTCTCAGGCTGGGGGGACAGCAGGGATCTGGCTCATTTTCCCATCCCCAGGGATGAAGACGGGGACGGGGACAGGGATGGGGATGGAAACGAGGACGGGGATGGGGACGAGGATGGGCGTGGGGATGGGGATGAGGATGGGGATGGAGATGGGTGGGTGTCGAGGACGCCGTGCTAACGCCCCGGCTCTGCTCCCCCGGCAGCTCCTCCGACGTCCATCTCGGTGCTCGCCGCCAACACACCAGCGCCCTTCAGCCGCTACCAGACGCAGAACTTCACCCTGGTGTGTGTGGTCTCCGGTGGCAAGCCCGCCCCGCTGGTGAGCCCCCGGGCGGGTTTCTCTTTCATATATACATATATGAAACAAACATGAAAAAATAAATATATATTAAAAAAATATATAATATAAAAGTGCTGCTTTTGGAGGCAAAATAAGGCAAATAGCTGCCTGCTACCCAAATCTTGCCCTACAGCATCTTTCCGTGGGGACCTCGGGAAGGAGCTCCATCCAAAGCTACCCAAGGGGATGGGATGCTGGGGATGTCTGGGGTGGTGGCTGGCCCCACGGGGCTCACTGTCCCTTTTGTCCCCATGCAGGTGTACTTCAAGCGGGACGGGGAGCCCATCGAGGCCACCCCGCTGCCCGAGCCGCCGGGCGGCGCCG